TGACAGTGCTGGGCACAGAGCAGCTCCTCCTAAACCAGATCCCTTCTCAACTGTCAGCTCATGGAAGCAGAGGCTGAAGCCTGCACGCCCTGCATCACCCACTCTACAAACCAGGACTTGTGACCTCCTCCCCAGAATGCTAGAAACTTCCCAGCTCCAGTCTCATGGTGGTGAGCCTCATCTCCTGAGCCTTGGCCAAGGTCGCTGAGGCTTGTGGGCTTGCTGAGTGCTCTTGGACCTTCTCGGGCAGGCCTGACCTTGTCTGATGTCCCTGTGGGCAGGACAGATGCACAGCCTAACAGATGCCATTTGTACCATAAGCCATGGCACCGCTGGGGGTTCTGTAGGGAACAGTCCAAGAGACCGTGAGCCCTTTCCTTAATGGGCCCATATTTCAATCTTCAGGACGGGCCCCCAGGTGTCCAAGCTGAGAAAGCTCCAGGTCACTCTGCAGCCTTCCTAGGACACTGTGCTGTTCGAGAACCCTCTCACCTGACCAGATCCCCGAGGCTTGCTTCAGGCGGCTTCTGGGGCTCTCTTCCATTTCTCTTCCCGTTGATCTCTTCCCTGGTCTCCTCCTTAAGTGGCTCTGAGGCCAGTCCCATGTGCCTCTTTGATCTGACATGCAGTTTCTCACTCTGTGTTTTGTCCTGTGCAACTCTTCACTCTGGCTCTCTCAGAAATGAAAAGCCACACGTCTTGAACTTGGAAAGACAAGGGCATGCCATCACCGTGCTCACCCGAGTCTGCAGCTGATGTCACTCATCGATCACGGCACTGTTTTTGCCTGTGCTGGGCACAAGCTCGCCCTGCACGCGCAGAGCGGAGTCAGCTGGAGCTGGCCTGGGCGATGTGCCTCCTTGCCATCCTTCAGGAATTCTGCCTCAGAGCTTTCCAGCTCCACTGCACAGCCCTGAACGGATGCCAGATCTCTGCTAGAAGATAGCTTCCCTTCGATGTTCATCTCTCACTCGTGGGAACCCATCTGAAACTCAGTCTCGCAAAGCAGGCTTCACACCCCTCCTCCTTGCACTATTCATGACGTCACTTCCTGGTCCTCTAGGCCCCCAAACTGGGGGGTTCTGACACCTCCCTGTCTCCCCTTCCTCTGCTCGGCCCCTCCTGCCTAGGCAAGTCCAGGGCACTGGGGCCTGTAACTCTGGCGGCAAGCGGCGGGGAAGAGGGGTCCCCTGGGGTAGAGGATGGACCTTCAGTTGGGAAACCCTGGACCTTTGTTCTGCTGTGAGCTCCCAGACTTGGCACTTTCTCAGGACACTGTTTGCAAGGTGTTGGAGAGACCAGAGAATGATGTTAATGGGCTTCCGAGTCCACAGAGCTGCTGTCAGATCCTCCCCCGCTGCTTCCATCCCTCCTCTCCTCCCACCTTACCCCATCCTCCCTCCTCCTCCTCTCTCTCTCTCCCTCCTTTGTTCCTTCCTTCCCTCCCTCCTTCCTCCCTTCTTTCCTTCATCAAATATGAGTGGTTACAGAGCACCCACTGTGTGTGGAGCAAAGGTCGCTGTATCTGTACAATGGGACTGTTCGTGTGAAACAGCAGCACAGTGGCTGGGCCTTAGCAAGGACTGGATCAATAGTTGGGTGAAAGCTGCCTCTCAGATCAGAAAATCTGCCCAGAGACCGCCTAACTGAGCTCTGTTACAGATAAGGAAACTGAGGCCCCAAGTGGCTGTCCAAGTCCCCATCTCGAGGTCGAGGCAAGCCTGGGGCCTGAGCCCGGGGGCTTTGGCTCCCACTCGGGCAGTCCTTGCTGCTTTGGTGGGGAAGGTGGATTCCTTGTTTCAGGTTAGAGAGGCGAGGATGGGTCTTGATCATCAGAAGCCAAAAATCATGCCTTCCTCCATGCCCTCTCTGTCTCTCCCTTTCTGTTCTCTCTCTGTCTCTCATATACACACACACACACACACAGGGACTGTCCTTGAGTGGTGTTTCTAGGGGCAGCCACATTGGAACACAGGTGCCACTCCTGGCGCAATGTGGGAATGCCCAGTGCCCCTCTGCTGCAGAGGGTCCATGAAACCTCCTTCCCCCTGACCCCGAGGGACAGCATGTGGGCCCTGCTCACACAGCTTCGGGCAGAGGCTGAGGGCAGCTCCCCTCCCCCATCCCTGCCCAGCCCCGCTGCACTCCTCTAACAGGGAGAAACCAGAATGTCCTGTCCAGGGTTTGTCCTCCACGGGGCGCTCACACAGCTCCCCCAAGTGCACTCACTGACACCTTTCCCATGGCGCCTCGCTGCCGCCGGATGACCCGGCCTGCTCTCCCTTCCACTGCCACCCTCCAGGCCTCCTGCCCCGCCTTCCACTGCCCCTTTGCTCCTGCTGTGCCTTAGGCCCTCTGACAGCTGTTTCCAGCTTTTCCACCTGAGTGAAATTCCAAAGGAAAAAAAAATCAGTAACACAGTCATGCACCTCCCGTGATTCACAGCGTGCGGATCATAAGGGGGAAGAATCCCAGCTTGTTAAGAAGCGTGTGCGGGGCCTTGTAATTGACAAGTTCAGGAGCAGCACCAGCCTCGCGTGGCTGGAACCAGGCGCTCCATTCTTTTCCCTTTCTGCCTTTCAGCGCTGCTCATCCTGTCTCCTTTTGTGCATTGGCCTCGTTTCACAGATACCACTCCCTGGTGTCCGAGGAAGATGGTCACCAGCAGACTCAATTCTGATCGTCCTGACTGCCAGGTTCAGCCTAGCTGCTGCCCGTAGTAGGCACCATGCCCTGGGCCCACTTTTTAAGCCCACAAAAATATTCCCATTTAAAGCCAAGCAGAAAAACTTTAATGTTTTAGCTGAAGAAATGTTGACATATTAATATATTTTTATACAAATACCATCTGAGATACAATTTTTTAAAAAAATTTATTTATTTGAGAGGCAGAGTTACTGAGAGAGGTCTTCCATCTGCTGGTTCACTCCCCAAATAGCTGCAATGGCCAGAGCTGCACCGATGCAGAGCCAGGAGCTTTTTCTGGGTCTCCCCTGTGGGTGCAGGGGCCCAAGCCTTTGAGCCATCTTCTACTGCTTTCCCAGGCACGTTAATAGGGAGCAGGAGCTGAAGTGGAGCAGATGGGACTCGAACCAGCATCCACATGTGATGTGGGCACCAGACTACTATACCAGAGTGCCAGCCCTGGGAAGCTTTTTTTTTTTTTTTTTTTTTTTTTAGAGACAAGGGCAAAAGCAAAAGTGTTCAGGGCCCTCAAAGTCCCATCCATACCTGCTTGACCCACTCAGGGAGAGAGTCGCTCTTTCTCAGTTTTCATGGGTTAATCTTAGGGAAGACTCCGATTGTCCCTGATAGGACTGCATCCCAGGACAAATCACCCCACCGAGAAGGATGTCGGGCTCTGATGGGCCAGCCTTGCGTCTCAGGCCCTGCCCCCTCCCCAGGGGGCGCAGGATATCAATCCCATAAACACAAGGAGCAGGGTTTCCCACCAGGAGGATTCTGTTTCAAGACCATCCACGGCCGGCACCACGGCCCACTAGGCTAATCCTCCGCCTTGCGGCGCCGGCACACGGGGTTCTAGTCCCGGTCGGGGCGCCGGCTTCTGTCCCGGTTGCCCCTCTTCCAGGCCAGCCCTCTGCTGTGGCCAGGGAGTGCAGTGGAGGATGGCCCAAGTCCTTGGGCCCTGCACCCCATGCGAGACCAGGAGAAGTACCTGGCTCCTGCCATCGGATCAGCGCGGTGTGCCGGCCGCGGCAGGCATTGGAGGGTGAACCAACGGCAAAGGAAGACCTTTCTCTCTGTCTCTCTCTCTCACTGTCCATTCTGCCTGTCAAAAAAAAAAAAAAAAAAAAATCCACTTTCTCCTCGCAAATGCTGCCTCCCTTTGTCACACCTTCCCTAACACTTGCACCTTCCCTCCCTCCCCCAGAGAACTCACTGCCTCTACTTCCTCACTCCCTTAGCAGTTTGTTCTGGTAGGAGCCTAAGTGACCAGAGCTCAGTCTCCTTCAGTGCTGTGAGCTCTTTGAAGGCAGAGGGAGGGAGTGGGCCATAGGATGAACAGAAAGAGGGGTTAGCCCTGCCTGGAAGGAATCTGGGTCTTAACGGCTGGAGGTCTTCCTGGAGGAAGGAGTGTTTTAGCTGAATTGCGATTGAGGGGTGAGAAACAACTCCGTGAGATAGAAAAGATGACAGGCACCAGGGTGCGAAGGAGTTAGGGTGTAGAGAAGGATGTAGGAGATGAGGCTGGAAAGAGAACAGACAAGATCGATGGAGGCATGGGTCCGGATAAAGGACTTTGGATTTTTATCCTGCAAGTCAGGGCTCTTAACCTGGCTCCAAGGAGAGACTAGAGGGGGCCTGAAACAGTGTGGAATGCTGAATCTTGGTGGCTTTTTCTGCAAGGAAGGGCCGTGGTACTCCTCAGATTTGCCAAGGGGGTTCTGTCCTGAAAGGGTTAAGGATTGCCTAGCTCCTGGAGGGAGGAGACCCACCCTGCTCTGGACACTAGTCTGTGGTGATGGGCTAGAGGGGCAGTGGAGGAAGGAGAGCTGTCAGGAATCTGGGACGAGAGTCAAGGAGGGAGACTACGGCTTCCTGTAGGGCAGCGCAGGTGACAGACAGCAGAGAGGGGCTGTTGGAATGAGAGATGCTGTGGTAGCCTGGGCAGGGGCTGGCCTGCGTGTCGGGGGACAGAGAACACGGGCACGTGACTCCAAGACGTCTAGTTTGCTTGCGTCGTGACCTTGTCATAGAATCACTTGAAACTGTTTTTATCATTATGTCTCTCTCCCATCTCGACATGGGAATGATTGAATTTCTAAGGCTTAAGGGCTCTGATACATGCACAAGTTGCCACTTTGCTTCTTTCCTGTGCGCTCAGCGTTGCCCTGATCGCACGTGTTATCAGACCCCTAGGGACCCGTGTATGAGCCCAGTCCTCTGCGAGTTTAATGTGCAGAGAGCGGCTTGGAGGGCCACACGGAAGGCTCACAATGGTTTGCTTCTCTAACTCGCGACTGTGTCACCCTCCCCAGCTACCCGCTGCCTTCTCCAGTGCTCAGCAGCTCAGAGCGACTGCCCTTCGGCATAGAGGAGAATGGGGGCACCCCGTTCCCCGCCAAGGTGCCGGGAAGGCACCACCACCACCACCAGCACCACCCCAGCTACGGCCTCACGCTGACGCTGGAGAGCAAAGAAGGGCCTTTGAGGTCCCCCAACTCCAGCAGCAAGTCCCTTACGAGTGAGTGGGGGGCAGGGGGCAGGGCAGAGGTGGGGGAGGGCCTCCAGGATGACACACATCAGTGGTGTTGTTAATGCTGGGCGAGAGCAAACAGGAACTTTATGCATTCAGGTGGGCGAAGTGTAGGGATCCTGGTTTGGTTTGGCGGTAAGAATCCATTGCACTGCAGGGGAACAGGCCCCTCCCCTTCTCATTTCTTAACAGTTCTCTGCTCTGGGTCACCCAGCACTGGCAAAGCAATGGAAAAGAGAAGGAGGGCAGGGAGGGGGTCCCTAATGATAGATACCCATTCTGTCCCAGAGGTGGCATCCTACTTTTGAGGGCAAGGTGGTGGCAGGTGGATCAGTCTGTCTACTATTACAGGTCCCAGAAAGTTAGAAAACTAGAGAGGGGGCAGCCAGAAACATGTTTAGCAACAGGACAGAGTGATTTTGTATCTTAAATCTCAGGAAAAAAAATACGGGCTTGGATTTTGTTATGTCTGTTATTTTTCTAGAGACTGTTTTATTATATTTTACCAAATAATTTGTTTTTGATCACCTGAGGGGAAAGAACTGGCTCTTTATCATGTGTGGTTTGAACAGCACTGAGATAGAGACAGGCATCTAGGGGCTTGGGTTCTGGTTCTCACAGTGGAGCCGAGTCCCTTCTCGGGACTTCTCTCATCTGTGAAATGGGTGGAGGGGTCAAGATGATCACCAGAGGGTGTTCCAGCTCTGGAGCCTGACAGCTGGTGAAACAGAGTGGTCCATCCACCTTGACCTGCAACCCAGCTACAGGGACAGTTCAGGGCTGGCTGAGCTGGAAGTGGGAACACGTCACCCACTTGGTGTGGAAGAATCGGAACTCTGTCCCCTCGTTCCTACCCTGCCCTTACCCAAGTCCATGCCTCATCTTTCTGTAACCTGCGTGACTCACAGCTCGTAAGGGGCACAGTTCTGGTGCATCCTCCATAGCGCGGCTGCCAGCGTCATAGCTGTCCCCAGGTGGCTTGAACCAAATGCCATCAGGCCTTGCAATGGCTCATTGCTGCCTGGGGCAAAGCCCTCGCTTCTGAGCCTGGCCACTCTACACCTTCCCATCCTGGCCCCTGCCAAAGCCGTCAGCTTCCCCCATGCACCCCCACACTGTAGCTACACGGAATGACTCTCCTCTCCCCGAATACTATGCTGGTTCCCAGCCGGATCCTTTTTACCTGTTGTTCCTTCAGCCAGAAATGCTTTTCTCCAGCCCAGCGAACTCCTACACACATCCCTGATATTGTACACACATCCACTCAGGGATTCTCAACCACCCCTCCCCCACCCCTGGCTTTGACGTGCCTTCCCTCTGTTCCTGTAGCAACCGAACCACCCATTTATCACTCTAATCTGGAATATCTGTACTTAATGTCTGTCTCCCAATTGGATGAGAATTGCATCTCATTCACCTTTTTATTCCAGTTCCCCAGATCTCAACTGCTGACAACATGTGGCACATGTTTTAGTGTGTGATGAATATTTAAGATTTCATGAGTATTTTCTTTCTATATATATTTATTTATTTATTTATTTTTTTGACAGGCAGAGTTAGAAAGAGAGAGGCAGAGAGAAAGGTCTTCCTTTTTCCATTGGTTCACCCCCAAATGGCTGCTACGGCCGGCGTGCTGCGCCCACAAAAAGCGAGGAGCCAGGTGCCTCCTCCTGGTCTCCCATGCTGGTGCAGGGCCCAAGAACCTGGGCCATCCTCCACTGCTTTCCTGGGCCACAGCAGAGAACTGGACTGGAAGAGGAGCAACCAGGACAGAATCCAGCGCCCCAACCGGGACTAGAACCTGGGGTGCTGGCGCTGCAGGCAGAGGATTAGCCTAGTGAGCCATGGCGCCAGCCTAAGTATTTTCATGTATTAGTAAATTCAAGCTAGAGGGAGAAATGCCAGCAGACTAAACCAAACTGATAACAAAAATCAATGGATTTGATTTTAGAAAGGTAATGTGGGCCCAAGAGCTTGGGCCCTGCAAGTCCCTTACAAGTGAGTGGGGGGCAGGGGGCAGGAGGAAGCACCTGGTTCCTGGCTTCGGATCAGCACAGAGTGCCGGCCTTGGCGGCCATTTTGGGGGTAAACCAACGGAAGGAAGACCTTTCTTTCTGTCTCTCTCTCACTGTCAAAAATCTGCCTTAAAAAAAAAAAAAAAAAAAGGCAATGTGGCTTTTAAGGGCACATTTCTTTGGCTGTTCTCCGGAACACTCACCTTCCCATTACCTTCCCAATATGCATAGCATATTTTCCATTTTTCAAAGCCTTTGTACATGAATGACCTCATTCAGTTTTCACAGCAACCCTACAAGGTAAGTTCATTTGCATTTTTAAAATGGCTCAAAGGGTCAGACAGGTAACATGACTTCCCCAGGGGTGCTCAGCTCCGTGGAACCTTGACCTCAGACATTCTTAAACCCCAGCCAACCCCTGATGCGTACTCAGGGGATCTCCACTGCTGGAGGAGGCCGGGGCAGGCAGAAAGGGCATGGGAGTCGGGCTGTGCTAGATGTCCCCTGTCCCTAGTGTCTGCCTGTCCTTCCAACCTTTCCTTCCTCATTTCCCTTACCACTGCATAGAGCTGAGTCCAGGAGCGCCTGCCCTGTTCAGTGAAGCCGCTGCCCATCTCAAGAAGCTGGAATTGGAAACTGTGAAGGCGCCCGGGCCCTGGCCTGCTCTGCACATCAACATAAACAAGGTGCTGAGGGCTGGGGCTGCGCGATGAGCCTGGCTTTGGTGCTCATGTCCGACTGGAACGGTCACCCTGGCCCGCATCCTGACCGCGTGCCTGTGCCTTGGAGGGATGATGTGTTCTCCGTCTTTCCAGACATTTCTGCTTAAGGCTGTCCTCTAGGAGCAAAGATTCACTTACTTGTTTTGGGTGAATACAGTTCTAAGCATTGCCACATGCTCCTTGGGTTGATTTCTTTCTCTTAATCTCTTGGTTTTCAACTTTTCTTCTGTAATATTTATGATAAATGATTTTTAATATGGATTTACCCAGAGTTTGACCACAATCCAAAAATTATTTTGCAAGGAATATAGCATATTGTGCAGTAGAGATCTCACAAGCTGTGTAGTCATTTATAGTTGCCATGATTGTTGGTTGGATATTGATAAGAGTGTCTTGCTCCAGGTGAAGGCGTATCTGAGACACCTGTGAGTTACTGAGCACTCTCTGGAACTCAAACTATAACTTCCCTCCTTTTTCCTCCACTCAAAGAAATGCATCAGTAAGCAAGTAGGTTAGTGATGTGATTACACAGGTTAACTTTGACTTTGACCTAAGACATAAGCATATTACCTCACACCTTCATTGCTTACAAGAGTTTTTACTTCTTATCATGACACCACAGTTAGGGACTACTGGCCTAGAAGGCTTCTAATAGCCTCAAAGAGCTGGAATCTTCTGGTTCATGTAAGGTAACGTTCTGTTCTTAATTTAATGGTGAGAAGTCATTCTCACTACCCAACTGCAGAGTTTGTACCTGGGGTATTATGTCACATTAAGCTGCCACTTGCAATGCTGGCATCCCATACTGTGGTGCCAGTTTGAGTCCCCGCTGCTCTACTTCCTCTTGTTCCAGCTCCCTACTTACTAATGCACCTGGGAAGACAATGGAACATGGTGCAAGTACTTGGGTCCCTGTCACCCAAGTGGGAGACCAGGATGGTGTTCCTAGCTCCTGCCTTCAGTCTGGCCCAGAGCTGGATGTTGGAGCCATTTAGGGAGTGAACCATCAGGTGTAAGATGTCTGTCTGTCTCTGACACTCCTTCTCTCTCTCTGCCTTTCAAATAAATCTTAAGGGAAAAAAACATAATTGAATCCAAAATTATCACAGGAATTTAAACCTCATCAGATTTTGAATGTGTAAACAATTTGTATAAACAATTTAAACATGCATCTGATCATTTCTTTATCCCCAAATGGCATCCCCAAGCAGATGGGCTATTTCCAATTATAGTAATATAAAGCCCAATTATCATTCATTTGTGTTTCAAAATCTGTATTTCTATGTGAATTATAAAGCATATTTCTACAGTTAAAATTGATTGAACATATAATTAAAAATATAGTCATTCAGAAGACAGAAAGCACAATATTTTGGGAGCCATCTTCCAGGTAGGAAATATGATTTCAAAATCCAGGTATTGATCTCCCACAGAGATGTCTTTTAAACAAGCAGATTCATACAATGATGCACAAATTTTCCAAAATTTATACTGGCCTTTACCTGAGTCAGTTCCAACAGCTGAACATTAGTGTTCTTGTTTTGTCCACATCAAACAGGAACAAACCAGCTTGAATTTCACATCCCAAACAGCAGGTCAGATTTACTCAATTCAAGAGGAAAACCAATGCTGAATTTCCATTCCTTTTTACTTTCATAGCACTGCATTTTTGAAGTAAATCTTTGGTCATTACTGTCACTGTAGCTCTACATCCCCTTAAGCAATTGTCAGAAACCTCAGATGGGCTTTATAGCCAACTTAATTTCTGTATCCAAGCATATCATTCCAAAAACACTAATTAAAAATTAACTCTTCATGTATCAATAAAAGCATCCACTCAAGTATGAAGCAAATACTTTCATGTAACAGGATTTACAAAAAAAAATTACCTAAAGGCTATCCTGTAAAACTCATCTTTCAAAATGAATGAGGGACTTACTTACCTAAAGGAGAAAGCCAAGTCCCTTAGGATAATGAACACAGTCAAATGAGCCAGTTCTTTCAACCCAACGTGATGCCCGAGAATCATTAGCAGGCTCACATCTGGTGCAATTTTTATTTTTTCAGTTGTATTTTCTTTTCTAAACAAAAGATCCAGCATGAAAGGCCATTCGCATCTTCTTTCTCCTTTTTTATCACAACAACTTTACGAAGGAAACTAAGGTTTCTTTCTGGCTAGTAGACGATAGTTCTGAGCTCTGTTCTATCAAATGCTCTATCCTACATGTGTTTGGAGGTTCCCACTGGGAAACTGTATCCATATTATCTTTTCTTTATTAAATGATGTCAGGCAGCCAATTGCCCTGTACTTCCGCTACTTTTATAGTATTCCTACTATGTGCACCAAAGTGCTCAACAGGATTTTTGAATTAATGAATATGATTAATTTTGGAACTTGCAAAATTTGAGGCCTTTAGATCATTTTATTCTTGCCCTCATCCATGGGAGCTGATATGCCTCACTTGGTCCTCATAGCAATAAACTGACTCCTGGCCATAATATTAAACAGATATCTCTTCCAGTAATAACACCATATCATCTTCAGTATATAATAACATATCAGTATATGATAACACCGTGTCTTCGGTATGTATGTATTGGACACTTAACATACGCTAAGCAACGTGTTTTTACTGGGATATGTAATAATTGCAACAGGCATGGTTGACAATAAGGCATTATTTCCCAAAATATACCATCAGAGATGACTTCAAGAGTATATGTGGATGAGTGCTTTTTATTTTATTAAGTATGTCACTATCATCATGTGTATTATAGCAAATATAATCATCACAAATCCATTGATTTCAAAGATACTGCCTTGGCAGAGTACAGATAGGTGGTCTAGGGTAACAGATCCTAACTGGAGCCCACGAATTACAGGGGCACATGTTCAGACAATACATAGAACACAACAAAAGTAATGAAGGTGGTAAATTTCTAAAGTCCAAAACACTATCATAAGGTAACACACATAGATTCCTTGTTGAGAACTGGGACTGCAGCAAGACTTAGGGCAGGAATATCAAGGAGTGTTTTGCAAGTCTTTCCCTTGACCCAGCATGTCCAAGAATTGGATTTTCCTTGGATTTTCCTCGTACACGGTAGCAGTTATGAGGAAATAGCTGTGGTCTGGAGTGGAGGAACATGGGAGCCGAATTCCTGGTTCTGCCACCAGCTCTCACCACGAGCTTCTGGGAGAGCCCCTTCCTCCCTTTAAAGCTGCGCCCGAATTCTGAGACACCCTCTCCTTACTTCAAGAGTGAGCAAGACAATGGGCTTGTGACTGGCAAGACACCGGCACAAATATAAGGAGCGGGTGACGCGTTGGTCTATACCTTTCGGTCCGTGTGTCATTTGCAGTTACGACGGCTGGGGAAACGCTAATCTTCGTGGTTTTTTTCTTCGTTGCCTGCATTTTGGTTTTTCTCAGGCTGAGGAAAAGAAGGTTTCCGAGAAGACTCTGCAGACCCCGCTGTTGCCTTCCCCCGTGGCCGAACACGTGAAGTGTAACATCCTGAAAGCCCAGCTGGAGAACGCCTCCCGAGGGAACGCCCAGGTGGGTGGAGCTTGCCGTCACGTGACCAGAGTTCCCCAGTGCTCTAGAGGAGGACTAAGACACTGTGTCAGTCAGGAGACAGGAGCCTGGCCTTGGCGTATGAGCTGGGCCTTGAATATCAAACATCATTAAATGGTGAATGAAAGGCAGGAAGAGAACCCGGTTCTCCAGTGTTAAGGTGCATGATAGTCTTTAGCCCAGCCGTGCCCTGTCTGCTCAGTCTATCCAGCTCACAGGACCCCGTTCGGAGCCACACACCTCTGAGGTCGCACAGGTAGCCACTGCAGGAAGTGCTTTGTATCCCAGTGGCTGAGGATCACAGGTGCTATAAGTATGGAAATGTAGGTGCATGGAGAAGTCCCTGAGCAGGGGCCACTGTGGCTTGCGCTGGTGTCTCTGAGCTCAGAGGCCAAGTCCTGAGGCTCCTGGATGCACACTCTGAGAAGGGGGGTGCCAGCCAGCAGGGGCTGCCCTGTCTGAGGTGGACACAAAGGCACTGGATCTACCACTGTGGGCAAACTCTAACCAAGGAGCAGGAAGTCGACAGGAAGGAGCTCGTCCCTTCGCATGCCTCCACTTTATGCCACTTCCTGAAATACAAACACAGCGTAAAATACTCCGGCCCCAATGCACAGTTAGACCATTCGGAGGGAGGTTTAGACATGAAGGGTGTTTACCACCATATACTCCCGAACTTGCCCCATGACGGTTATCACTGGCCATGTGTAGTGATAATGACCTCGCCCTCTGGCCACAAATGCAGCCTTGGGATCATTTTCTACACCATGTGCTGAGGCTGTACCACCAGGTGATCAGAGCTGGCACCCAACCTGAAACACATTTGCCAGCCCTGCCCTGGAAACATACAAATGTTACTGTTTGCCCATGATTTCATTAGAAAAGTATGTAACTGTCTACTTCTTTCCTATGAACCCAGGATCTATGCCAGTGTTGCCAAGGATAAAGCAAATGTTCATTAATTATTTTATTATTTCCATTTATATATATGGTAATCTGAATCATTTAGATCCTTCCAGAACCATACCATGAAAAATGAGAACACTTACCAAATTTTTTTTCCCATTTCTGGGTTTGTGATATGAAGAGGAGAAAGTAAGGTGTAGAACAGATTTCAAAGTCAGGTGGTCTGGGTTTGAGTCTTGATCTGCTGTTCATCAGCAATGTCACCCTAAGCTTGTTTTCTAACCTCTGTGAGCATCAGTTTTCTCATATGTAAAGTGGGATGACAGTACCTGCCACCTTAGTTTATGGTGAAGATTAAGTGAGATGACGTATGTGAAGTCTCTGATGCAGTGCCTTGCTGTACCACTGTGGACATACTGACGACAGTGGTTACAGATAATGAAACTGGTGGGGGCACTGACTGCTTGCAGATAACAGCAGTGGTACTTTTCACAATCAGGATAACTTCCCATCACAAATGCAGTTACATTGATATTAGAGTCCCAAATTCTCTTTGTTTTAATTCTACCTTAGTTGTTTTATTAAAGTATGCCATTTTTCTAACCTTACAGAACAACCAAAACTGATGTATGCAAGTATTACACAATTTACAAAGTTGATATTATCTACATTAGAAAGTTCAATTATGAAGGTGGGCGTTTGGCACAGATGGTTAAGGTGCCTCTTGGGATGAGCACATCTCACGTCGGAATGCCTGGGTTCAAGCCTCAGCTCTGCTTCTGAGTCTGCTTCCCTGCTGGTGTGCCCTCTGGGAGGCAGCAAGTGATGGCTCAAATACTTGGGTCGCTCACCCAAGTGGGACACCCAGAGTGAGGTCCAGGTTCCTACCTCTGGCCCCAGCCAACCCCCTGCTGTTGCAGGCATTTGGGAGTGAACCAGCAGATGGGAGCTCTGTCTGTCTCTCTCTCAATTTCTAAAATATATTTTATTTTGTAGAGTATATGGGAGAGGTGAGAAACAGTTAAGAAGAAAAGAAAATGTCCTTTCCAGACATATGGAAGGGCACAAAGCAGGAAAGGGGAAGTGGGCGAGGTGTGAGGTCAGGAATTTCCAAGTGTTTCCCAAGATGTTCTAAGGGTGCCTCTATAGGATGGGCCCTGCTAATTCGGGAAATGCTGTACACCCAGTCCCCTGGGCCGTCCCCCCATACACATTAGCTCCCTGTAGGCTCAGGGACATTCTGCAAAATAGAAACCTTAGTTTTTTTCACACCTAGTTGGCCACAGAACACTGTATAAAGCAGCTGCCACTGACATCTATAGAGCTGGTGTCCTCGGGAGCACAGGAACGTGCGTGAGGAATCCCTGGGTTACAGTGGGCTCAGGGGTAGTGGCGGAGGGCTGGGGGTTGATGCACAGGCTAAGCGCACTGCTAGGGGCGTAAGTGTTCATTCTCTGTTGACGTCAAAGAAGATAAGGAAAAGAAGCAGAAATCAAATAGGCCAGGGGTGCCGTCTGTCTTTTGCTAGCTCTACAAAAGGCTTTGATCCGGAAGTAGGATCCACATGTGGGCAACCGTGACTGGCTGGCAATGCAGGGACCTCCAAGTCGGTATCCTGGAGAGTTGTGCACCATGTGTCTCTAGAACAGAGGCCAGGGTCTGTGTGTTGTGTTAGCTGCTGCACTGACCACCGACCACTGACCACCGGTGTGAATTCGGCTGGCCTGCCTGGCTGAGTGAATGTCCCTTCCTCTCCTGCTATTGTTTTGGGAACTCACCAGAGAGAGGGGAAGACAAAGCGTCCATCAAAATCATCCCCGGCTTGTCCCGCTGGTGGGAAAGGACAGATCTAAATTCCTTTACACTGTGAGTGCTTGTGTGAACACAGAGCTCACCAGTATTCCTCATCTAAATGAGAGGTGAGGGATGAAACCATGGCTCCAGCTTTTCCTATCCCATCCCTTTCTCATTCAAGCATGAGCTGGGACGCAGCAGGTGTTCCATAAAAGTGAGAATATAGGAATTGACTGCATTCATACAACTTGGAGTCTTTCTCCCCGTAGTGGGGAGTGACGCTGGAAAAAAATTTTTTTTTCAGTAACTTAAGTAAACAGCAGAGCAAGGTTTGCTATTGATTGAACCATTAGTGAGCTGCCTCTTCTGTCCACCTTCATGTTTCTGTCGTCCTTTGGATGTAAGACTTGAAAACATCCTCACATGCCATTATACTCAGTTCTGATTAACCTGACCGTTGTCTCTAACAGATTGGAAAAGAAGAAGCAACGTTTGTAAATATCAATAAGAAAACCAGTCTTCTGGACGCTAATATAAGGTCTGTTGCTTCTTGTTTGAATGGGGAAACGATATGCTCTGTATCATCAGCATCATTCTCAAAACATTGCTCCTGGGGGAAATGATAAAACTGGAGAAGAAAAATAAAACTGAGGAATGTAGCCCAAAGAGACATGCTTAAACGACTTCCGTTAAGCCTCAGAAATGCCTCTTAGTTTCAGTGTTACTATCTCTACACACTCCGCTAACGAAGAGCTCCACCCCTTTGGGTTGTCTTTCAGGCTTGTAGAGCTGCCCTGTGTGTGAAGTCCTTTAAAAGCCCTGACTGCTCTCCCAGTAGAGTCCGCCCGCCTTCGAGCTCCAGAGGCCTCTGCGTTCCCTGTTATCACGGCCCTGCCCTTTCACTAGGCCCTCTCTTAGCTGCAGTCCAGGTGCCCCAAGTCTCCACTCCTGTCTCCCACCTTGGTGGTCCTCCATGCAGTTCTCCTAGATACCAGCCACTCCACCTAGTCAAGGCTGCGTACTGCCGCCATGGGTGGGGAGTCCTCCAGGGCCCATGTTCCGTTCACTCTGCAGTCCCAACTGGAGGAGACCATGAACACAGCATACGCTGGCCCCGCTCTGTAGGTACTCATTAACATGTTTATTCAACCAGCATTTCTGATGCACTGACTACATTCACAGCTCTGGATCAGGCACTTAATAGAAGACACTATAGAAGCCCAGAAGTGTTCATTGGTTTTCTGGGGCCCTCAACTTATTTCGATGCCCCTTTAGTCTCAGAAGACAATTGCTGATTTTTTAAAAATGAAATTAAGGGGCCTATTGTTGTGGTGCAATAGGTTAAGCCACCGCTCACAACACCTGCATCCTGTATTGAAGTGCCACTTCAAGTCCGAGCTGCCCTACTTCCTCTGATCCAGCTTTCTGCAAGTACACATGGGAAGCAGCAGTGACCCAAGTGCTTGGGCCCCTAGCACCCATGTGGGAGGCCAGGGTGGAGTTCCTGGCTCCTGGCTTTGGCCCAGACCTGGCCGTTGCAGCCATTTGGGGAGTGAACAGCAGATGGACGGTTTTTTTTCTTTGTCTCTCATTCTCTCTCTGTTGCTCTACCTTCCAAATGAATAAATAAATAACCCTTGAAAAAAAATAAAAATAAAATTGTGGCTAGTGTTTGGCATAGTGGTGTGAGTGGTGTGGGTCCCCTCCTTGGGGTTCCCACATGCTGTATGGAGGGCCTGATTTGAGTCCCAGCTACTCTGCTTCTGATTCAGCTGCCTGCTAATTTACATGTTGGGAGGCATCAGGTAATGGCTCAAATATGTGGGTCCTTGCCACCATAGAAGAGACCTTGGTTGAGTTGTGAGGTCTCCTGGCTATTGCAAGCATTTTTGGGGTGAACCAGCTGATGGAAGATCTCACTCTGTCTCTCTGTCTTTCATATAAAATGAAAATAAGTAAATAAAAATTAAATAAAAAAGAAATTAGTCATGACTAATATGACAGTGTGAAAGCTTTTCTTTAAATCAGTTTTGAGTAGGACCCATTGGTTATGTGGCATACAACGGCTCTTCGAAAAGCTGATTAAAAATGCATAGAATGAAAAAACTATGCATCAATTTCCACGGTAGTTTTTGGACCAAAAGAAACTTCTTTTCTTTTTCTTTTTTTTTTTTTTTGAAAGATTTATTTATTTATTTGAAAGTCAGAGTTACACAGAGAGAGGAGAGGCAGAGAGAGAGAGAGGTCTTCCATCCGATGGTTCATTCCTCAATTGGCCACAATGGCTAATCCGAAGCTGAGCCTATCTGAAGCCAGGGGCCAGGAGCTTCTTCTGGGTCTCCCACGCAGGTGCAGGGGCCCAAGGACTTGGGCCATCTTCTACTGCTCTCCCAGGCCACAGCAGAGAGCTGGATCGGAAGTGGAGCAGCCAGGTCTCGAACTGGCGCCCATATGGAATGCCGGCGCTTAAGGCCAGGGCGTTAACCCACTGTGCCACAGCGCTGGCCCTGAAACTTATCTTCTAATTCTATTGTTTCATGAATTTCTGAAGTACTCCTGGATTTTCTTGAGGAAATATAAACATGAAACTTAATTTTTAACATTTTCATATGTACATGAAATTAAACTTTTAGAGCAAGTCCTGAAGGTCTTCTGATTACACGTTTTTCACACAAAATATACTATAGTTCATTACCACTTTAAAAATGTATATTCTGTACTGTGTTTAAAATAACGTAGCTTCCAGATTATTGGGAAGTGCATATGGGTTACCCTAGGTTTCTCTGCATTTGTTTGCCTGACAAAACCTGGTGATGAATGAAACCTTCATAGCAGGGAGTGGGAGTGCATTTCTGAGTGGGACAGTTTTATTTGTTAGCCCAAGTATATTTACTTCCCCATTTGCTGTGTTTTCTGCCCAGTGGCTTTTAAATTTTTTCTACGATTTTAAGGTAGTAATTATTAAGTCAGTAAAGCAGAAAGACAAAAAATGAATGGCCAATGTTATTGAGAAAGCAGTCCCTCCAGCCAAAACAAGAGATTCAGCCTGTATGTTGGTGTTCTTTTTCTCCGTATGTCTCTAGAAGTCCTATTCCCATACGCGTGGAAACTGCCCAGCCAGCCGTGGAAAAGCCGGAAATCAAGCCGCCCCGAGTGAGGAAGTTGACAAGACAGTATAGCTTGTGAGTTCTGCACTGCGAGTTTTTCAATTATGACAGCCACAGTGATGCTAACTGTTCAATTACGGATGCTTCTTGACCTTTAAGGCCATTTCCAGAGAGCCACTTCCCAAATTCTGTTGATTTCTAATTTAGATCCTAATGGGACTAGATTTTCCTCCCTAAAAACATGATATAGTTTGCCAATGTATTCATAATTGATTGCAGTAGAACAAATTACTCCAGGATTTGGTGTGTGGCAGGACAGTCCACATGTATCAGCTTTGGTTTTGTCTGTTGGGAGCATGAGCATGGCTTAGCTGGATCTGCCATGGCCGTGTCTCTCACAGGCTACATTCAAGCTGTTGGCAAGGGCTGTGGTCTCATCTGAGGGTTCACCCAGGTGGTTGCTGACGAGATCCAGTTCCTTGGGGGCTGTTGGACCAATGTTGCTCTCAGTTTGTAGCCATGTGCACTTCCTCAGCTTTCTCCATTAGAGAAGCACTCATTAGAACCAGCGAGAGTGGTAGCAGGGCCAAAGCCGCAGCCTTTTGTAATCTGTCTCAGAAATGACATCCCATCACTTTTGCCACATGTCATTCATTAGGAGCAAGACACTCGATCTTGCTCATGCTCAAGAGGTCGCTTTGGGTGACACATCAGTACCAGGGTGGGGGTCCTTGGGGCCACAGTGGAAGCTGCCTTCCACAGCATATTACTGCAAGGTGACCCGATCTGTCCACAGTGCCAGCGCTAATCACTAAGCCATCTATGAGGCCTGTGGAGAGAGCCCTGTCCCAGAGGGTCCCAGGACCACCAGGGGCCAGCTTAGCTTAACCAAAGTCTGTGGCGTGCATAGGCCTGTTCTAGGCACAGTTGGGGAATAGCAAAGTGATTGTGACAATTCCCACCCAAGGACTCACAGTTTATTAGAGGCAAAGACAAGTTCACAAATAATTACAATCCAAAGATAGGTAAAAGCTGTAGTACGGGTGATGGTGAGGTCAATAATATTTGTAATGCTGTTCTCAGTGAGGGGTCGTTTCTTGGCCCCCTTGCCTGCAGCCCAAGCATAGGACCTGGAGGTGCAGTTGGCCAGAGAGCAGCAGGCCTGGGACTCAGTGGAAAGCAAGGGGCCCTGGAGCTGGAGAGGCTCCTGTTGAGCACACTTTCTGCTTTCTAGCTGTTAAGATTTATTCTTTGAGCCTCTCTTTCTTTGTCTGTAAAATGGGTGTGATAATAGTGTCCTCTGAGGAATTTTGTGATAGCTAACATGGCCACAGGATGTGCCCACCTTCCTTCCTTCTCCAGGACTTGGACACCTCTGGGAAATTGTTGAATTTAGGGAGTACCCGGGACAGGGAGCACCACTCGTGGTGTAATTCTCAAAGCACCACCGCGGACCTGCCATTTGCACCTTTGCAAAGGAAAAGAAGCGTGCACAGGATCGGAGCAGACACGTCCTCATTAGCCCTACTAGAAACTTCTGGGTAGTGTAGCGGTGCATTTCCAGGGAAGTCAGAACAAGTAAGGTTCAAATAAGTAGCAGTCCTCAATGGTCTCTGGGGGAAACTTAAACCACAAAAATCTGCTTCCCCGAGGATAATGCTGCAGGGATTTGTTTTTTTCCTTTTACGTTTTTAACTCAAAACATAATTACCACCCACCTGGGATGTGGAATTGTATCTGAAACCGTGACTGACTGACTACATGACCTGGAAGGAGATTTCACTCACTCAGCAAATTGACTCTCTGAAGGAACCTTTCTCAAGCCTCTAATTTCACACGCACATGTCTTAAGCTGCCCCAAAATATTCTCCTTGGAAAATCTAAGGATGACAGCATTTCCCCATTAGTAGAAATTAGCAAAACTAACGGGTGAGGTTTTCCCCGTGTGCAGTTTCTGTCCCAGAAGTAGTTCTTGGATCCTTGACCCTGGTTGTCATTCCTTTGTTCATCTCTTGTGCATAGATGCCATGGAAGTTGTTAAACACACGCTCAAGGAATGAGCAGCTGGGGAAACTCTAATTTCTGATTTCCCAGAAGCATTTTCTAAATGATGAGATGTGTGTGCACGCATGGCCCTTCGGGCTGTTATGTTATTCCCGATTCCTAGGCCAGAATTAAGCATACTCAGATGGTAGTAGTGACTTCACTAAGAGCAACAAAACATCCAGGTACTCTAAACAGGCTTTCAAACCACTGCTTTGAAGGTTATCCACAAAAGCCTTGCCTGTGTTCTTTCCTGGAAGTGGGACAGGGAGGAGAATGGTGACCTCTGTGCGCAGAGAGAAAGAAGTCAAGGAACTCTGATGAGAGTTTGAGGCAGGTGAAAGTGTCGTATTATACTGAAGCCAAATAGCACCTCTAGGGAATGATATACTACTGTATTTTCCCCAGAAACACAACTTTAGGATAAACAGAATATAAGTGTTTAAAAATTCCACAGACAATTCAGAAAAATTCAAATTTGAAAAGTCACCAATTTCCCAGACAAATGCTATCAAATATAACATTTTGATTGTTAAGACAGAAAGAAATAATTTCAAAGCAAAGATCATTCTATAGGTAAATTTTATTTACTAAGGAGCTGGCATCGTGGCACAGTAGGGTAAGCTGCTCCTTGCGATGTCAGCCTCCCAGACTGGGGTATGGGTTTGAGTCCCGGCTACCAGCTTCCTGCTAGTGCATCTGCATCTGGGAAGGCAACAGAAGGTGACCCTTATACTTGGGCCCCTGCTACCCACGTAGGAGACCAGGATGAAGATTTTGGCTCCTGGCTTTGGCCTGGCCCAGACCTGGTTACTGAGGCCATTTAGGAGGTGGACCAGCAGATGAAAGATCTCTGTCACTCTAACTTTCAAATAAATAAGTAAATGCCTTTTTTAAAAAAGTACTTAGTAAAATTTTGCTGTGTAAAAACACGGGCAAAATTGGAAGACTTGCAGACTTTCAGACAGATTTCCTTGTCCTAAGACCTAAGTTAAGATCCAGGATTACAAAAACCAAAGTCATTTTCTTTTCCTTTTTTTTTTTTTTTTTTTTTTTGGACAGAGTGGACAGTGAGAGAGAGAGAGAGACAGAGAGAAAGGTCTTCCTTTGGCTGCCGCGGCCGGCGCACTGCGGCGGGCACATCGCGCTGATCCGAAGCCAGGAGCCAGGTGCCTCTCCTGGTCTCCCATGTGGGTGCAGGGCCCAAGGCTTGGGCCATCCTCCACTGCACTCCCGGCCATAGCAGAGAGCTGGCCTGGAAGAGGGGCAACCGGGACAGAATCCGGTGCCCCGACCGGGACTAGAACCCGGTGTGCTGGCGCCGCAGGCGGAAGATTAGCCTATTGAGCCGCGGCGCCGGCCTACAAAAACCAAAGTCATTTTCAATTTTAGACAATATTAAGTTGGCTTACTGGTCTTCGATATAAAATAAACCATAGCTATGCTTTTAAGGTGACCATATTCTTTTAATGAGGGTATAAAAAAGGGCTCCACACCCCTCCACTTAACTAGGTATGTGATCAGTCTTTTTCAGTGAGGTAAAACAATTTAACTTCTTGACTTACCCAGGTGTATGACCTTGAGGAATTCATTTCACAGCCGTCCACTGAGTGGCACATCTGGTTCTCTGGAAAATGGCGATCGTAATACAGGCTTGTTGTGAAAATTAAATAGGCAAATGCAGGTGGAGCTGATCTGACCTGCTTCAGCTGCTGAATCCAGATGGGCGGTGCCTTACTCATTTTTCCACGTGGTTGCTCAAACCTCACCTTTCCCCCTTTTTTGGGGTAATGAATCCTAAATCCTCCTCCTGGGACGTCTTGATACACAGAATGCACTAAAATCTCTCAGGGTCTCCCTTCATCGGGGCCACCCATGCTGCAGCTGTGCCCTGTGGCCACATATTTCCCAGGAGACCCACTGCTATGGGACCCCCATTAGGGACCTTGCCCAGGCCACCTTGGGCCAACTGGTGGTCACTCTTGAGCTCAGCTGTCATTTGTAAAACACAACCCTGTGTCAGGGTGGCTCCAGAAGTTCTACAGGGAGACCCGTAGGGGCTGTGGGCCTGGCGTCCTCAAGGCCACCTTCAAGTGTAAAAGTTCCCTGGAAGGACTCACGGAACTCAGGCATACTCAGGGTCTATTGCAGCTAAAGGATATGGATTAATAGAGAAGGAAGAGGGCACATAGGGTGGAGTCCCAGGAAAACCAGACAGGAGCTGCAATTCCTCTCCCCTCAGAGTCACGTGGACAATGATTTATTCTCCCAACAACATACACAGTGCGTTATCAACCAGGGAAGCTCACTGGAGGAATAAAAACTTCGGCATCCAGAGTTTTTATTGGGAATCAGTCACATAGGCACGGCGCACCCACATGACCATCCTTAGCTAACCTTATCATCCCCCTGGACGTCCAGCTGATACAGTGTGGCCCAGACACCTGGACAGCATGAGCTCCCTGGCCAGGTGTTGGGTATGACAGACACTCCTGCCAGACAGGAGATTCCCCTGTCCCAGAGGTTGTCTCCCAGGAGCTCACCAGTACCTGTGGTTGCTTTGGAATGTGCAGAGTGAGAACCCCCCAGGCCTGCTGAGTTAACGCTGGGTTGTATAGGCAGTGATCCTGTGGACATGGGGGAACAGGAGACTTGTCTTAATCTCCATCTGAGAAGTAACTGTACTGAGAACGAGGTCTCAGTGGCACTGCTTCAGAGCTGTGCCAGGATGACCAGGTCAGAGGGGATTCCAGCCTTGACACAGCACGTGGGAGCTCAAAGCCTCCCCCCAAATCCAAGCCCTAGAGGGAAGTCCAGGGGGGCAGATCAGACTTTAACTCCCTGATGGTGACTTCCTATCTGGTGTCCCTTTTGGCCTGGGTGACCTGATTCCATCAGACAGATTCTGAGAGAGATATTTGGCTCCAAAACAGATTTGTCCAATTCTTCCCTTGTGACCATACAAAAGGTTTTTCATACCAATAAACAAACAAACAAACAGTTGCACCTGTTAGATTGTAACCTGTTATATGACAAAAGGGGCCATACACCCTTCATGCAGAGTAGTGAGTTCCTATGAGTCTGTAATACCCATTATGGGATGCTATTCAAAGTGAGATCTCTGGGGCAGGTGTTTAGCCTAGTGGTTATAATGCCAGTGAAGATGTCCAATGTCCCACATTGGAGTACTTGGGTTCAGTACCTGGCTCTGGTTCCTGAATCCAGCTTCCTGCTATTGCAGACCCTGGGAGGCAGCAATGATGGCTCAAGTGACTAGGTTCCTGCCACACACGTGGGAGACCTGGACTGAGTTCCTGGCTCCTGGCTTTGTCCTGGTCCCGCCCCAGCTGTTGTGAGCACTTGGGGGAGTGAACCAGCATTTGAAAGCAGTCTCTTTCTCTCCATCTCTCTGTCTGTCTGTCTCTGTCTCTGTCTCTCTCTGCCTCTAAATAAATAAAGAAATTTTTAAATAGGCCACATCTTAAAGAAATACAGAATAAGGCCTGTTGATTTGGTGTTTCCTCAGAAGGTTGAAGCCTGGAAGTACCTAGGATGCAGCCATCCCATTCCTAGGTGGAATTCCAGTCCTAAAGATTTGAAGGCAGAGAGTGAAACAGATATTTGTACATTCATGTTCAAAGCAGCCTTATTCACCCTATCCAAAACAGAAACAACCTGGTATCCATAACAAATGAATGGATAAACAAAACATGATATACCCATACAGTGGAGTGTTTTTTCCATAGAGGAATGCATTTTTGATCTGTGCTTTGGAAACACTATGGCAAATGCAAGAAACCCAACACAGAAGGGCCCATGTTGTATGATTCTGCTTATGTGGGATACTTGGAATAGGCTCAATCATTGAGAACAGAAAGTAGAATAGATGTTAGCAGAGGCTGTGGGGAGGGTGTCATAGGCAGTTACTTTTCAGTAATAATACAGAGTTTCTATTGGAATCTATGGACAAGTTTTGGGGTTAGATCATGGTGATGGTGATGTGACATTGTGAATACATTTAATGCCACTGAATGGCATTGAATTAAATTAACACTTAACATAGTTAAAACCATAAGTGTCATGTTGTGTATATTTTATCACAATTTGCTAAAAAGGAACCCTGGCAAGTGGCAGCAGTCCGAGTGTGCTTTGGCCAGAATGCCAGACATCTGGCGGCCATCATCTGTAGGGAGCCTCCGCCCCTCCCGCCAGCCTCCGCAGCCCTCCTTCCCTGCGTGCACGCCTTACAGCCTGTGTATTATTGTAATGAGCAGAGCTTCATGTGCTTTTAGTAACCGCAGTGATGAAGACGACCTCCCTCCAGACCTGGCCGAGGCCGTGGGAACCACCCCAGCTACCACCGCGAACAGCTCGTCGGCCGCCACCCAAGTCTCTGTGCCGCTGGCGTCCCCTAAGGTCCAGAAAGTCAGCTCACCTCCAAAGTCTGAAGGCAAGGGCCCGCTGTCCCCAGGGGCCAAGGTATGGGGGAGTCCTGAGGTATGGCCACACCAGCTGGGCATTCGGTGTCTGTGAGTGAGCGGGTTACCCTGTGTTTCATGGAACCTGTCCCCAGAATGGAAGCCAGCCGTGCAGGAGGGGCGGGAGAATATGAATCCATATGCCCTGTCTGAACAGCGTAAGTGATCTTGGAAGCAGTTTTGACTCAAAATACGTGCCCTTCCTGGGCTCTATACTCCACCATGAAGATCAAAAGTGGGAAGTACGGTAATGAACAATTTGGAGGAGCAAACAGTCCACCTAGTGGATAAGCTGTGTTAACGCTTTCAGAATGGGAAGTACCATTCTGTTTGCCAAAATTGCTCGAGATGTGAACAGGCAATGACGAGGGCCTTGCACAAGACACTTCTGTTGGTTCTTTATGAGTGATCTCTAGCCATGGTCACCCTTCAGCAATTGGTCCAAATACAGTCGAACCTCTTGTTCACCAAGTGAATGCTGAGGTAGAGGTGGCCTGGGGCCACAGAGCCACAGCAAAGCTGTGTGCCCAGGCGGGGCCCTGAAGGCAAGAGCAGAGTTTGAACCTGTCCTCAGCCCCTCTGTTCACAAGCCTTGAGATGGCTTGATAGGTGCAGTCATTTCCAACGTCTTTGGTTTTCCAAGCCTCAGTTTCCTTCTCCTAAAAACAGGGATAAGATCTACCTGGCATCGGGTGCAGTGGGGGCTCGAGGGCCTGTGCAGACTTGGTGCCCCAGCATCAAGGATCTCGGTTCCTGCCAAGACCTACCTGGCAGGGATGCAGGCCCACCTCTCCTGTGACCAGAAGCGGTCTTGCATTGGTCCCTTCCCCAGTGTCTCCAGGAATTCCTCCGTGTTCCTCCCAGGGGAAGCTTGGCTGGACCCTCATTCGGTGACTGCCCCAGACTGCTCTGCTTCTCTGTGGATCACCTCTGGCCACCTCAAGTCAGGTTCCTCCCTGCTGTGGACAGTCCCCCGGCCAGCTGTGTCCCGTGTGTGCACACAGGATTCTGTCCTCTCCCCCGCCACTGAGGTCCAAACAGGCTGAAAAATTCAGAGCACAGATGCTGGGGAGAGGGGAAGCAGTCTCCGACCAGAGGCACAGAGCTCCCTCTGCTGGCCGTCTCTCTCCTGAGGGCTCTGCCTGCACCCTAGTGATGGAGCTGTTTTTTTTTTCCCTCAAAGGGCCTGAAGGCCACAGGTGCAGCTAGGACCTCAAAGCAGAACACAACGTTTTCCAGAACCAGGAACGCGATGTGCGGAGGTGCCCTGCCCCCCCCCCCCCCCCCCCCCAGTGATCTTCCCCATCGTCCTGCTATCCTTTAGCCCCTGAAGGCCAGCTGAGCCTCCGGCTCAGGTCCAAGTCTTTGCTTTCTCCTTTTACATTCAAAAGGCTCCTTAAAGTGTTTTTGCCTGGAGACTAAAGAACACTCAAAGCACTTGAGAGGCGTTGTTTGTAGCTTTTAAAAAAGAAGACCATCTAGGAGCAGAGTCTGGCCAAGTAGTTAAGATGCTGGTGTCCCACCTTGGAGTATCTTGGTTCAGTTCCCCTCCTGACTTCAGCTTCCTGCTAATGCAGGAAGTAATTGAGTTTCTGCTGCCCGTACCTGCCTTGAGTTCCAAGCTTCTAGAAGCATCTAAAGGAGTTGAACCAGGGAATGAAAGCTCTCTTTGTGTGTCTCTTGAATGAATAAATAAATAATTTAAAAGGATGACTCCTCATCCCATGATCTGCTTGTACGTAATGCATGTTTTAGAAAAAAAACTGAGTTTCAGAATCAACATTCTGTGTTTTGTTCATTTGATTTTTTAAAATATTTGAGGGCAGGGAGGGGCAGGAGAGAGATTGAGTTCCATCCCTGGTTGTCTCCCCAAATGCCCGCAATGGCCAGGGCTGGATCTGTGGCTTCCCAGACTCTGCATGAGCAGGAATCTGGAGTCAGGAGCTGGAGCTGGCAAAAGAACCCATACACTCTGATGTGGGATACCGGCTCCTATCTGCTAGGCCAAACGCCCACACCCTCAACATGATGTACACTGCTGAGGAAGGGAAGTGGGGGGGCGGGGAGAGGGCTCAGTGTTAGAAATGGGGTAGAGAAGTATGGGGCACCCATCTTCTGGTAAATTCTGTCATCCATCCAGAGCCGCCACTAACTGGGGATGTTTTGTCTGCCTTCCTAGAGCCCCTCTGACCGAGGCGGTGCCTTCACCTTGGAGCCAGGTGACCTCCTGATGGATTTCACAGAAGCCACTCCTCTGGTAAACTTCCTATTTTGCTAAAACCAGAAAAATCCCCAGATCGTAGCAACATCTCGGCAGTGGGATGGATGGACAGAGGTGGGCGGCGCTGCGGCTGGGAAGGCTCTTCCTCTTTTCCTGGAGGCTCCGGGTTCTGCTTTTCTGGAAGGTTCAGGCACTGTGGGTCCCTTAAGGGGAGGGAGGGCTCGCAGAGGCCCAGATGCCGCCTGTCTGCTGCTCCTTAGGTGTCTCAGGTCTCCTCTGTGTACGGGGCTCAGCTTCTCGGCTTCCTGGCCTGGGCCCTGCATGCCTGCCCATGGGGCATCTCTTGCTGTCGCTTCCAACCATCTGTCCCATCTAAAGCGCTGGCTCGGGGCCACATCTCAGCTTCCAGGCCACTCGTGCCTCCCACCATCCCCGCTGTCATCCATCCCTGCTTGTGGGTCCCCCTTGTAGAGGACCAAGCACTGAACCAGGAGTCACACGGACCTGGCTGCACTCTCTGCCTCCCTTTTTAAGATCCTTAGCATTGAAGAGCCACCACCCCACCCCATCTTCTACGAAATAAGGCTGCCATTGTCTGCCCCATCTGTCTCCCAGGAGTATGTATTAGCATCATGAGAGACAGAGAGAGGGATGGAGGGAGGGGAGAGGAGAGGACACGGAGAGATTGAGAAAAGAAACACTGCAAATTTGTACAAGGTAGTATTAATACTATTAGATACAGGCAAACTTGGATAGATCTTTAGCTGGCTAAACCTAATACCTGAGTATACCTGAGCATTATCACATCCAACTACTCTGGGCTATGAATCCAACTCTAAGCCAAGTTAAAGCTATTTTCAAGAGTTTACTGCGTGCCTGCCCTGCACTGGGCTCTGGGGTACAGAAGGCAGCTGGAGGCCAGAGAGGAAGTCAATTTGATAAATGGCCGAGAACCCTGGGAGAGCTACGTAGAAGATGCTGGGAGAGGCCAGAGGGGACTCATGCGGGGTCCACCTGCCAGAAGGGGCATGTGACGGATGGGAAGGAGTTCTGGAAGACCTTCTAGAGACAACACATGGGTCAAAGTGCCGCCCAGGCTTTGGGGCTTATCCCTGCTCCCAGGCAGCCAACACAGGGAAGTCATTGAGTCGTCCAGAAATTGGTGCAATCTCAGAGCTTCTGCCTTTGAATACATAGCTGAGAGCAATCAGAGTGACCCTGCTCTGGGAACTTTGAAAGTCACGCCCTTCCCGTGTTGGAGTGAATGGAGCAGGGCTCTTCATGGCCCTTTGGTTGGACAGATTGCCAAGACACTTACAGGTGGAAGGGCCCTTCTTCCCTGCCTTTTAAATAGGATGAGCCTAGAAACACTGGGCCGTTCAGCATCGTGTTATCACCACCTTTGCACAGATGGGGACTGAGCCCCAGAGCGGGCACTGAGCTAGAGCTGGAGCCCAGGTGTCCTGGCTCCTCCGCCAGTGCTCTGTGCATCCCATTGTGCTAAGTGCAGCCATCAGTTACATCCCAGGAAGGCCTTGTGTGGGAGGAGGAAGCCTGAGCCATGATCTGCAGACATCTAGTCTGGCCTGAGGGTAGCATCCACCCAAGGGACCTGAGAACCCGTAGGATGCAGCCCGAGTGCCTGTGCAGGCTCCAGGAGGCAAGCTAGGCTCTGAGCACCTGCTCTGCAGATGGCAAGGCCAACAGGAGCAGAAGCCAGTGGGGAACCTCGCTCCCTGAATTAGGCGCATGGGCAGCTGCCAGGCTGCTGCAGTCTGGGGGCACTTCCAAAAGTTTATGGGAAAATGGAATTTAAAAATCCATGTATTTTGGGACACACAAAAAAATTGAAACCCATGCATAGTTTTTATTTCATACCGAGCATTTTCCACAAACTTTTTGAAGGCCCTGTATATGTTGCAAACTACATGAATTGCTACTGCTGTGGGACCCAGTGTCGACCCCAGTCTGGGGGCGCTGTGAAAAGGAAGGTTCTTGGAGCAAGGGTTTTAAAGTATGAAAAGGAGTTTACCAGGTCAAGAAAGTGGACCAAGGTGTTTCGTGTAGAAAGCACAGAAAAAGAAAAAACAAAACTGTGGCTTTTACAGATGTGAGGGGATTCCTTTAGGGACTACAGGGCTCCAACCCAGTTTGTAGGTTCCATGACTTTTCATCTCAAACGGTCTTTTCTTTGAAGGTGACAGACGGAGGCTAGCAAGGAAGCAGCATGGCAGGGACACACAGGTCCCTGAGGCCAGGCGCAGGTGCCCACCACATAACAGGCATCTCTGCTTGCACTGCTCCAGCAGGCAGAGGCTCGGCCCTCTCCCGGGACAGCCTGACTTAGCACTGAAGCAGGGCCCACGGAGCTGCACTGCCCAGGTACGGGATGGCGCAGGTACAGGCACAGCTGCCCACGTGACAGCTGCAGTTCGCAGTGAATCTGTGTTCCCAGAACTCAGCACCCTGTGTCTCGAGGCCCGGCCCAGGCTCTGGGGAGAAGGCCTCCTGGACGTCTGGTGTTTTTGCAAGAGCTCATTGCACTCTCAGCTTTCCTTGGCACCACTGGCTTGGACTCCTCCCAAATCCTGTGTCTGAGTGCAGAAGGTCATAGAGAAAAAGGGGACTCGAGCCATCTGTTTCTCTCTCTGTGTCTGGTCCCCTGCCTCCGTCTCCTCCTCTCAGCATTACAGGAGCATAAGCGTCACCTCATTGTTGGGACAGCGGGGAGGGAGTGGACTCAGTGCCTGGGGCTGGGAAACCTGCTGGCAGCAGTTACTTGGCCTGCCTCTGAAGCCCAGTGTCCCAGACGTGGTGGGCAAGGGCTGTAGGGGGCGCTCTTCCCCACTGCAGGAAGGAGCTGGAACCAAGCAAGCAGGGGCAGCCCCTGTGCCTGACTTGTGACTTCCTCTACGACCTGCACCCATCTGTGAGCAGCAGTGGCATCTTGGGACCATCGCATCCAGTCCTTCACATACAGATGGGGAAACCAAGTCCCCCACTGCACCAGGCATTTGTCCCAGATCAAACAGCAAGTGTGCGTCAGAGCCATGATTAGAACCCAAGCCCTTGGCTGCTGTCCCACCACCTTTTCCAGTGGCGGATGACCCAAGCTGAGATGTATCTGTCTCTTTCCCCACAAGCCAGTCTCCTTCTTAGGAAGCCAGCCTGATCCCCTGGCCTCAGCCCAGGCTGGGGGGTAGCTCTGGGACCATCTTGGGTCAATAGAGAGTGATGTTAAGGATGGGAGGTGCTCAGGTGTCTGGATCCATGAGACCCTGGGCTTGACACTGCACAACTCCTTTGCCACTCCTGTGCCCTTAGCCACTGGCCGGGGTCTCTGGGTCTTCCCACTGCCTTTCAGAAGGAGCCACACTTACAGGCAAGAGTGACAGGCTGCTCAGGGGATGCTCATCATGCAGGCTGTTGGCCTCCTACCTGTGTGTGTCCTGTGTCCTGTGTCTTACCCAGGCCTCAGCTTGTCCCTGGCCCCCTCCCTCCTGCAGGCTGAGACCCTTAAGACTACCCTCACTGCCTTGGTTCCTTGGGCCAGCACCAGACAGGGCACTGGAGAAAGAGGACTGGGAACAGATGTCCTTGCCTCCCTTTGGTGGCGTTCCGCACGACACTGTCAGAACATGTGGGACCCTTGTGACCCTATCTCTGGTGCCCTGGTTTTCTCTTTTTGTCTCCTTCATTCTCTTGCATCCTTCAAGGCTCCAAGGACTTCCAATCTCAAACTCTCCGCAGAGAAACTCTTTGTAGCTCACTCTTCAGCTCGTGTTCCCTCCTTTCCCCCAAACCCTCTCTTCTCCGACCCCCAGCTCTAGTCTCGCGTAGCGCAGTTGGGCAGTTGTAAGCCTCAGAGACTTTGCAGCTTGGTGTCTGCCCACTCCCAGGCTACACATGACAGAGTTCATCATCAGATCCGAGTTTCTTTCTGGGATGGAAGAGGGGGAGCATGTGGTGAGAAGGGAAGAAAGCAGAGGGGTCAGGACAGTGCCCGCTCCCCATTTGGAGTTCATTTTTAAGGTGTGAGTGAGCACACGCATGGGAGTCTTGGGCCGGCAGAGTGAGGGTAGTTGGGTGGAGGGTACAGTTGTGTGTTATAATGCTGACCTTGCAGAAGGCAGAATCATGCCCCAAAACTCCAGGTCCTCCAAGGCAGCCCCCCTCCCCAGGCAGTACACACCCCAGACATTCATGCCTTCTGTGGTCTTGACTTTTCTCTTTGGGGACCGTCCTTCTCTGATCTCCATACTTTGTGATCTACTCACCCAATTGCAAAGCTGAGCCAATCAGAACCCAAGTCCCTGCTGGGCCATGGCATGTGGGTCAAGAGTTCAGGTGTCAGGAAGGGCATCGGCCTGGCTGACAAAAGCCTGGCAGGACATAGGAACAGGCTCTGGGATGGGTGTCAGAGGAAGTGGGTCCCCATCTGGCTGAGTTATTTAGTTTTTTTAATTTGAACCTCATTGTACCAGGATGACTAATGCTTAGTCTCGAGTCAAATCAGAGCACCCCTCTGCTGCTCTGTGGTTTCATCTGTGGCCCCAGGATGCAGAGAGGTGGAGAGAAGGCTATTTAGTCTGAGATGTCAGCCGTTTGCAGGTGCATCTGGCACACTCTGGTTCCTTTCATGGTCCTTTTAGATGGGTGGAAATCGCTGTCCCCTGACGTCTGTGCACCTTTACCTGCTGGATGCCTTCCTGTTTGGGGCTTGTCTGGGTGGGAGACAGGGGCCACTTACAGCTCTTTAACCCCTGTTCCCCAGTCTCAGCCCACGGAGAAGGGGCGCAGGGCCCATTGGCTCAGGACTCTCTAATGTCTGCCCCTCCTCCCTACGCCTCTGACTTTTCTCCCCAGCCTCAAATGGGCAATCTCTTTTCTTACCTGGATGGTAAATAAGCCCTACATGCTTTCATCATCATTCACCTATGGCAATTTACTTGTGTCACCTATCCATGCCACAAATCTCTCTGTTCCCCCCACTAGTCCAGTTTTAAAACTGAAAAGCCAAGTATCCATGGAAGAACATGACTGCCTGGATGTGGGAAAGACCCAAGGAGGAAAGGAAATACCAGGAGAAGAAAGAAAATGGCATTTCAGAATAGTACCCCTTAGAAGTGTTGTCTTATTTCTTTCTCATTCGCTGAGAGTCAGACTGTGGGAGCCTCGAGGATGTTCTTCTATTTCAGTTCACTCAGTTGCATATTCAGGAAGGTCGGAAATGCTTGTGTCGTAGAGCAACATTTGCATAAAAATCCAATGCTAGGCAGAGCCTGAAGTCATTCATTATAACCTTCAATTCAGACACTGGGGATCTCTCTACACGAGGCCTCTAGGCAGCATGGCCGTGTTCCTTGGTCATTTATTCCAGCTTTTGTTACCTGTGCACACACACATTGAGTGCCTGCTCTTAAGCAGCAGGGGCAAAAGCCCAGTGGCCTGGGCTGGCTGTGTAGTTGATTCTGGCGGGAGCATTGACACACTGGGGTGCTTCCAGGAAGCAATCCTGGGGGATCCAATGGGTGCTTTCTAAGTGGGCTGGTGAAGCTTAAATCCAGGTGACCCATAGATTCCCTTGTGTCCCAACAATGGGTTTAGAAACAATCAGAGGAGCTACATCCCCAGAGCCAGATCCTGCAAAAGTGATTTCTGCACCCACCCACCCCACGCCAGCCCCAATCTGAGTGGTAACACAAGGCTGTAGTATACACCACTGTGAGATGACGGTGGGAAAAGCCCTTTGGAAATCGTCCAGGACTGTGCAATTGTCAAGAGGACAGAGTCAGATCAATTTGGAGAGGCCAAAGAAGCCTGCAATTTTCTTGATCATTTTTCAATGAAGCTTAGCCAGAGGCTGCGTTTCACGCTTCCCAGAAAGATGATGATGCCAACTGTTGAAGGAAACTCTCTTAAACGCAAAGATGTGTGTATTCTCTGGGGCAAACGGCGCCTCCCTGAAGCCCAGACAGCTGGCCCCAGTCCTTGCATCAAACGGTCGCTGTTCACTGTGCTCATCCTCACGGGTGTGAGCTGTCGGCCCCCGCTGGGTACACGGCACTCCTCAGGGCTCTGGTGGGAAGTGTCATCCCAAGTGGTGTGGCACTGTTCTCACCATGCTTGGTATCACACAGCTGAGCATCAAGGCGCCCCAGTGCCCGTCTGAGACGCTGGATGCTGGGTCTGTCTGCTTCACATGGGGAACCCGGAACCCTGACAGATGAGACCCTAAGACTCCACACCCCTCCCCTGGTGTGTCTGTTTCCCGACAGCTCCTGCTGGCTGTCCACTTGCCTGCCCATGACAGTGGGTGCTCATCTCTGGCAGAGCGCGGGTGGGTGCTGGGCGTGGAAAGCAAGTGCTCTCGAGCGTGGGGCCTCTCTGTGTTGTTGCACCCATGGCTGACATCACTGACTCATCATGGCTGCCCTTCTGACTTGGCCTGGGCCATGCTTCAGGACCCTAGCAGCTTGCCAGGAAGCCACTCCCAGGCCTGTGCAGCTGGCACAGGAGACGGCCTCTCCCCGTCGGTCCTGGGCATGGGGATTCGGTGTGTTGTTCTGCTCAGGTAGCGGAGGAGACAGAGGAGAGCCAGAGAGGAGGCTGAGAGAGGCGGGTGGAGGGTGGGATGAGAAGCTAGTTGGCTGGAGGCTGCGGGCGAGGCCGGCTAGAGAAGAGTCTGGCACTGCCAGAGCTGTCTTGCACTGTGCTGTCTTTCTCTCCTTTCCCTCCCTTCTCCTCCTCCTCCTCCCCTCCTCTCCTCTCCTCGTGAGCAGGCAGAGCCCGCCAGCAACCCTCACTGTGCCCACTCTCGCTGTTCTCCTCCACTCTCTCTCCCCATGAAGGAAGAGACCACTGGAGTTTGCATGTACCCTCCAATCAAAACGAGGCTGGTAGGTACCTGGCAGGGAGAGGGGCCTGGCCAGGACAGGTGAGGTGGGCAGGAGCCCCCAGTGCTCACCCCATGATTCAGAAGCCAGGCAGGTGTGCAGGAGCACCAAGCCGTTGGAAGCTCCCGGGTGACAGGTGCTCTCGCTCCAGGATGGACGCAGAGTTGGAGTCCGGCTGACCCCCGTCACATTTTGGCTCTAAGTCTCAAGCACCAGGAAGAGTTTGTTTTCCTAGAATTTGGATAAGCATAGACGCTTTTCTCAGAAATAAATACACGTATATGTTCTGGTACTTACCTGATGGACTCTTAAGTATCATTTCTGTTGAAAATGAAGAAGAGTCAACTTGTCTTCTCCTGCTGTGTATCAAGATAATGCAATGGGGCTGTCGCCTAAAAATGTGAATCACCCATAATCCCTACCTTGCTTGATTTTTTTCGTTTTTTAATGTTTCCTTCTATTTATTCATATTCATTCATAATTTTGCATAGTTAAATCAGAGTGCCCTATCATTTCCTGTTTTTCTTTCTCACTCAGTGCTGTGTTGTTCTATCTGGTTCTCATTACCCCATCCTTTATGACTGTCTCTACCCCATCCAGTGACTGATCCATCACTGGCCTAACAGATTCTTTCCTATGGGCTATGCACTTTGCTTCCCAAGTGTCACTATTCAAGGGAACACATCTAAGTGTTTACATCAGGGGTGTTATTTTCGGGGACCCGCCCCTGCTGGCCTCCATATTGTGCGTTTGGTTTTTGCACCCCCTGTAATGTGGCAGCACCGACTGACAGTTCTATCAGAAGACAGGGAGTGTGCTGTGACACAGCTTAGGCAAGGCAGAGCATAACTGCTAGGGGAGATGGTTCTTCATTACAGAAGGTGTGAAACAGTTGTGTGAAGTCGCTTACATTCTCATTTCTTCGATAGCAGTCATAAATCACTGTCATCTCCACCATGGGGTCTGAGGGTCCTAGCGATAGATTACTCCCCACTGTGAAACTGGGGTCTCAGCGAACCACCTTGCCCTGTTAGGCGATGGGAGAAGAAAGGCCGACAAGACTTCACCCTGAGAATCCTTCTCCCTCCTGAGTCTGAAAGCAGCCTGGGGCCCTTGCTGGGAATTCTGAGATGTCTGGAGAGACCAGGGAGATTAGGAGGGAGAGGAGCAGGGTTGAGCTGGACGTCTTGGTGCCCGTTGCAGAGATGTTGTCATCCCCACAATGGCCATTCAGAAAACCTCGGGCAATTTGTCCACATGGTCTTGCTCAGCCCTGCCTTCTCCTCCCATCACAGAACTCAAAGGTGCCAAAGAGACAGAGAGTCCTGGCGAGGCACGAAGGCTGCTGCCCCGGGGGAGGAGTGGTCCCGTGTTTTGGTCTCAGCCCTCTGCCAGCGGTGGCACAGTGTGCATTCACCTGCAGCTGTGCTGGCAGTCTCTGTGCCCAGGGGCTGCAGACAGAGCTGGTGCCAGGGTTGTCAGGTCCCCTGACCCGGGGCCTGCTGGCATCTTTGTTTGAAGAATATGCCCTCTCACACCCCCAAGGTCTCTAGGGGGCCAAAGACAGCATGACCAAAGCAAAACAAGTGAGAGCCAAGGGGCTTCGTGGTTGTCACTACCTGATCAGGCTGGGGCCTCCAGCCTCCTTCAGACCAGCTCTGTGCTGGGCACTTTCCAGCTTCCTGCTCCCAAAGGCCCTGAGGCGGGATCTCCGCTGCTTCTGTGGGTACCCCCGAGAGTCCCCATCTATTGACCAGATGTACACAGAGTCCAGTGACTATGGTAACTGCACAAGGAACACTGTCTGGCTCAACTCACCGAGCCTCCTGGGTCTGTGCCACTGTGATAGACTGGGTCCTGGGCTGTGACCTCTCGGCAGCCACTCAGCCACCCGTCACCACTGTGACAAAGCTATCAGAAGCCACCCAGGCAGCTCTGGCTGCCCTTGATATCCACCCTGAATCAACGTGCTGTCTTTTGTGGGTTAGGCCTGGCACCCAGCACGCCTACGAGGCCCAACCGACCCAATGATGGGGGTGCCCCGCTGACCCCCAGCCCTCTGGCTGCAAGGGGACCCTCTGTGTGTATCCTTAGACAAGTGACAGGGCCTCTGAAGGGTTCACCTCGGTCCTCGTGCTTAGTTTTAAAGGTGCACTCCCAGGAATTTCCAACATAAAGTGACCTCCTTGTCTTTCTCTTTTTTGAAGATAAAAACATTCCCGGCCGACCCCGTGAACCCGTTTCCTGACCCTTTTACCACAGGGCCACAGTTTGCCGTAAGTAGACCCAGAAACCAGATCTGCCTTTGCAGACACTGTCCCCAAGTGCCGGCTTCCGCGAGGAATGCCCACAGCGATGCCGACAGCTTCTGTGCAATTCTATGACATTGGGAAGGAGCTGGGATTTTGTTTATTTTCTTCTACTGAGATGAGGTTCACATCCCATGGATCATTTTAAAGTGGCAATGCAGTGACATTGAGTATATTCACTGGGATCTAGTCCCAGTACATTTTTATCCAGTACATTTTTATCTCCCCAAAGAAAACCCTAAAGCCATGAAGCAGTTTGTCCCCACTTCCTTCCTGCTCCCAGCCCCTGACAACCACCAATCTGTGTTCTGTCTCTATGGATCCACCTGGTCTGGATAGTTCATAGAAACAGAATCCTAGAACATGTAATCTGGCTTTTCTCACTTTGAGGTTCATCCACGTTGTAGCCAGTATCAGAATGTCATTTCTTTTTAATGGTGGAACAGGAGTCTATCATGTGTGAACTCATTCACTTATTGAGAGTTTTTGGGTTGTTGCCACCCTTTGCCTTTTTGTTATCAGTAGGATTGGTGTGAGTGTGCATGTACACGTATTTGTTGAACACCTGAGTTCTCCTGGATTAGATCTGTTTTTTTAATTTCTTTTTTTTTTTAAAAAAAGATCTATTTAATATTTATTTGAAAGGCAGAGTTACAGAGAGGCAGAGTCAGAAAGAGGGAGAGAGAGGTCTTCCATCTGCTGGCTCACTCCCCAAATGGCCACAACAGCTGGAGCCAGGCTGATCTGAAGCCAGAAGCCGGGAGCTTCTTCCAGGTCTCTCACATGGGTGCAAGGGCCAAAGCACTTGGGCCATCTTCCATTGCTTTCCCAGGCCACAGCAGAGAGCTGGATCAGAAGTGGAGCAGGCGGCTGGTGCCACGGCTCACTAGGCTAATCCTCCGCCTTGTGGCACCGGCACACCGGGTTCTAGTCCCATTCGGGGCGCCGGATTCTGTCCCGGTTGCCCCCTTTCCAGGCCAGCTCTCTGCTGTGGCCCGGGAGTGCAGTGGAGGATGGCCCAAGTACTTGGGCCCTGCACCCCATGGGAGACCAGGATAAGCACCTGATTCCTGCCATCGGATCAGCGCAGTGCGCCGGCCACAGCGCGCCGGCCGCAGTGGCCATTGGAGGGTGAACCAATGGCAAAAAGGAAGACCTTTCTCTCTGTCTCTCTCTCTCACTATCCACTCTGCCTGTCAAAAAAAAAAAAGCGGAGCAGCGAAGACCAAAACCATTGCCTGTATGGGGTGCCAGCACTGCAGGCAGTTGCTTTACCTGCTTACCCCACTGTATCGGCCCGTAATTTCTTTTTTTAAAAATATTTATTATTTAAAAGGAAGATTTACAGAGAGAGAGGGAGAAACAGAGAGAGAAAGAAAGATATCTTCCATCTGCTGGTTTACTCCCTAAATGGCCACATCGAATGGGGCTGAGCCAGACTGAAGCCAGGAGCTTCTTCCAGGTCTCCCACGTGTGTGACAGGGCCCAAGCACTTGAGCCATCTGCCACTGCTTCCCCAGGTGCCTTAGTAGGGAGATGGGTTAGAAGTGGAGCAGCTGAGACTTGAACTAACACCCATGTGTGATGCTGGCACTGCAGGCAGCAGTTCAACCCATTGAGCCATAGCGCCAGCCCTTGGGTCTGTGTCTTGACAACAGGTTGTCAGCACCAGCCTCCTCTTATTCAAAGTGGAGAGAGTGATAATAATATCCTCCTCTTACTCTATTTAGGCATGGATAAAAAGGGACCAAGAGGGGCCAGCCTTTTGGCAAAGCAGGTTAAGCCACTGTTAGCAATGCTGGCATCCTATATGGATGCTGGTTTGTGTCCTGACCCCTCTACTTTCTGATCCAGCTCCCTGCTAATGGCCTGGGAAAAGCAATGGAAGATGTCCCAAGTAGTTGGGCCCCTGCCACCCACATGGAGACCTGGGTGAAGCTCCTGGCTCCTGGATTTGGCCTGGCTGTTGTAGCCATCCAGGGAGTAAATCAGTGCGTGGAAGATCATGTGTGTGTGTGTGTGTGTGTGTGTGCACGTGCGAGCGTGCCTCTCCCTGTCTCTCTGTAACTGACTTTCTCAATAAACAAATGAATCTTTAAAAAAAAAAGACCAAGAACTTGACGATGCTTCCCCGACGACAGAGCCTCCCACAGCTGTCGGTGAAGGTGCTGTTGCTTCTCTCGAGGCTGGATGAACAAGAACAGGTCCTGCTGACCCCTGGCTTCAGGGTACTACCTCTGTAACTCGCTGGGCAGCTTACTGAAACTCTCCAAAATGTATTTGTTAAAAGTTTTATTCTTTTTAAGAAGTAAAAAAAAAAAAAAAAAAAAAAGACACAGCTTATGTCCCCTAGTTCATTCCCCAAATGCCCAAAAGGCCCTGGACTGAGCCAGGAACTCGATCCAGATCTCCCGCATGAGTGACAGGAACCCAATTCCTTGAGTGTTCACTGCTGCCTCCCAGGACCTACATTAGCAGGAGACTGGAGTCAGGAGCTGGAGCTGGGAGTCAAATCCAAGCACTCTAAGATGGGGCTCAGGTGTCTTAGCCGCTGGGTTGATGCCTGTCCCTGCAAAACGTTTCGCTGTCTTTAGACATTTAAATGTGGTTTCCTCACCTGCACTATGGAAATCTTTGATGATTTTCATGCTTCTCTTGAGCTGCTCAACTCTTCTTTCCAGAAGCTGACTGTACAGTGAGCTGCTCTACGGAGCGGAAGTGGGACGTCCAGGGTCCTCGCCTCCTCCATCTCACCCTCCCTGCTCCCAGAAGGCAGAGTTTGCCATTCCTCCAACCCTAGCTTCCCCGAGGCTCCTTGCTGTGCCGTCTGGAGGACCTGTGAGGTGGTCTCAGGAAGCCGTCCAGGCAGTCTTGTGAAGTGGATGATGGTGACTCCCTGATGTGACTCCAGCCACATAGAGAAGGCGGGGAGTGAGCAATGGCTGCTTCAGGTTTCAGAGAATGAACAGAGGTGGGAAGGTGTCCAGCAGTCCAGGCCACGAGAAAAGCAGATTCCTACAACCGTCTAGCTCGAGGGTCCTGAGCTACTGGTAGCACTTGCCTCTTAGGAATGGCAGGGCAGAGCCACAGGGGCTGTGCCAGGCTGTTACACGCCACTGCCCTGGCACTCATCTGGCTCCCTGCAGTTTTGCTGGACATGGCTCCCCAGCTGGAAGCTCTGCTCCACTTCCCTCTGCTGGCCACGGTGGGGCACCCTGGCCTCCTGCCCAGCCTTGGCTGTCCTGTGAGACACCCAGGGACGCCCTTTCCAAAAGCTGGGGGCCCAGATGGAGCAGGAAGCCAGTGTCATAAACCCTGCTGGGACTTTGAAGAACTGAACAAGAGAGGCTCAGAGGCAGCTGGAGTGGGTAGAGGGAACAGCATGGGCCTGGGGGTCGAAACTGAACAGGCGGCCAGTGGGAGGGCGCAGAGAGCAAGGGGAGTGGGGCGTGAGAGAAGGAGCAGGACACAGATGGGGACAAACACTGTATGGACAAAACCATGCTGGCCTTGTAGGCCACAGTAGGGCTTCTCTCTCTCCTAAAAACAAAGGAAAGCTTTTGAAGGAAGTCAAGCATATGTGAAGGGCAGCAGTGTTGGGAAAGGATCCCTGTGACCACAGAGGGACAGCAGTTGGACCCAGGCAGAGTGGACAGCAGACACTCCAACAGAAAGCTGGGAGAGTGGCTGTGTTGGTAGAGGTAGACAGAAGTGTAGAGATGGGAGGTACGTAGGAGGTTGCTAACATACTGGGTGGGATGAGGGAGAGGAGGAGTTGCACATGGTTCCCAGATTTCTGACTTGCAGAACATGGATGGGAGCAGGACCACTTGGAAGAAGACTGCATCGGCAGAGCTGTTGAGTTTGCCTTTGGCCATGGCACATTAGAAATGCTTTTGAAGCCTGCGCTGTGGCTCACTAGGCTAATCCTCCGCCTTGCGGCGCCGGCACACCGGGTTCTAGTCCCGGTCGGGGCGCCAGATTCTTTCTTGGTTGCCCCTCTTCCAGGCCAGCTCTCTGCTGTGGCCCGGGAAGGCAGTGGAGGATGGCCCAAGTCCTTGGGCCCTGCACCCCATGGGAGACCAGGAGAAGCACCTGGCTCCTGCCATCAGATCAGCGCGGTGGCGGCCATTGGAGGGTGAACCAACAGCAAAAGGAAAGACCTTTCTCTCTGTCTCTCTCTCTCACTATCCACTCTGCCTGTCAAAAACACCGACACTACACATAACCAGATAAAAAACGACGAGAGAGAGAGAGAGAAATGCTTTTGAGACATCCAGGCAGAAAGAGTGAATGGGCAGTTGGCTGTTCCCATCTGTCACTCGGGAGAGAAGAGCAGACCGGAAGTGATGACTCGGAGTTACTAACAGCTTGAGGGTGGTGGAGGCCAGACTCTTGCCCTTGAGCCTCCAGTCTCCTCACCCCTGTGTGCCGTGTTCTCTTCTTTCTCACTGGTGGCCAAGACACTTGAACTTTGGGCTGGTGCCATGGTGCAGTGGGTTAAAGCCCCAGCCTGCAGCACCGGCATCCCATATGGGTGCTGGTTCAAGTCTCAGATGCTCCACTTTCAATCTAGCTCCCTGCTAATGTGCCTGGGAAAGCAGCAGAGGATGGCTCAAGTACTTGGGCCCCTGCACCCACATGGGAGACCCAGAAACAGCTTCTAGCTCCTGGCTGTGGGGAGCAACTGGGAGCAACTCGGACTAGACTAAGTTACTGGAATTAAGACTTATTCTATGCATCTGCTCTCCCACAATATGGCGCTGGGAGAGGAGGAAATAGCTTCTTCACAGCTGCCTCCAGTTCAACCAATAAACAGCAGGACCTGCTCCTGATTGGAGGAGAGCAGCGTACTCGGCGTGTGGGTAGCAGAGTTGGGATTGGTGGAAGAGGACTATAAAGGAGGAGAGAGACAACATGCACCAGGAACATCTATCTGAAGGAACACCTGTGCAGCCCCCGAGAGA